GTAAAGCTGGACTTTGTTGTTGTGCAGGTTATTGAAAACCCAATTTTCTTAAAATTCAGTATTATTCCCTTACTTCTGTTTTTCTCTGTGCAGGGTAAAGCCCTGGGCGTTGGCATCGGCTGTCTCCTCGGCATGTTTCCTCTTCTGTTCTTCAAGGACGATGATGAGAAGAAAAAAGGCCAGGCGAAGGAGAAAACACAAGCACCACCTGCTCCAACAGAGAGCAGCAAAAACTGAAACTGTCAACTTGCCGGAGACAAATACTATTTTGAATCCATTAGAATACTTTAAACTGGACCCGACTGGCTGTGTCTGGTTACTTTGCAAGGCCCGGTCAAACTATGAAGGGTATTCTGAAGAGGATTTTAGATATTATTTGATTGTAGACTTTGAACTTAAGCACAGGGACCTGAACGTCTCTTGAAGAGACAAGAGGCAGTTGATTCTTTGGACTGCTGTTACTCAACTATTGCACCGTAACCTCACCTTGTTTTGACTGACTGACACAGGCGGAAACTCATTTATCTCAAACACACCGCAGTGACCTCCTCCTCTCCTCTGCTCCGAATTTGTTAAATATATAAACCTCTGACTCTAGATGGTTAGATGGCAAGTAAGGGTAGAAGCTAAAATATCACAACATACTTTGAAACCAATACAAGACAAAAAAAAACACTTTAAGAGTTCATTCAGACGTAAATCTGCACTGTGTCTTACATGGCATTCTGACATTGAAGGTTTCTTGTATATTGTCAGAAAGTCTGAGCAAAGAGGGAGGCCAATGGCTTGATTCAGCAGCGTTAAACCATGATTTGAAGACCTTGCTGTGTTTCCTTATCAGTTTTTAAGGATGAGGAGTCAAGGAAAGAGGGCCCTTTTTGCATATAAAGATGCACCCTTCCACACAAAGTTCTCTAATTATTCAGATATACAAGCATGTCTGCCCTTTTTTATGATGTCACAGTCTTAAATGAAGTCATGCCGGCCTGCCTCATTCACACTCCATGGCAAACAACAGCTTTTTTTAGTGAGAATGCAGGTGGTTAGATATGTAACACCTGCTAGCTGCTTCTTCTGCTGGTGGTAATGAACTTTATATGATATGCTTGTGTGCTTTGTGATAATTACCCAAAGCAGCAACATGCACGAAATGTACTGTAGGAAACCAGACAGATGCAGTTCAACAAAATCTAACCTTTTAAAGAAGGGTGTGTTACTTTCAGAAGTTTTGAGCAGGAAGGAGAGAAACACAGAGAGGCAGAGGGAGGGAGAGACAGAGTAGCTAAAGCAGAGAGTAAGAAATACCAACACTGAACCACCTGAAATCCTCTGGTTTCAATATTATATAATTAATGTCCTTTATCGCTGCATCAACCAAGCTGCAGCTGGACTACAACCCGAGTCTTCCAGTCCAGTTTCTCTTATGGGGCCAAATAAGGGCAGCCTGGAAATACTCACAACTACAGCCCAGTACATAGTAGTTCCAGTTTGGCTTAACACTAAATAAGATGATTGTTTCCCTGTTTATATTGTGTGAAAAAGATGTTACTGCTTTTTAATATGAAGGCACAACAACATCAAAGAAATGTCTATACCTATAAATATATTATTTTGTCTCTGCTCTACAGCCCTCTGCTGGCTGAAATTCTGAGATAAGTTTCTTGCAGTTTAGTTTGTAGTTTAGTTCAGTTCCCACCTCATACTTTTACACATTTATACATTATAAATCATGTGATTTGTGTTTAGTATTTGAACCCCTCAACACAAGCTGCTAAGCTTCCCTTGGCTATAATTTATTACTCTGATTACTGTATTTTTAAATGTGTAAATAAAACAGTAGGTCAGCCATGAAACATATAAAAAGGATACATTCAAGATGACACTACCAATGAATCCAAGTCTTAATTCAGCTGTCCTAATATATTGTTTAATGAGTTTTGTTTCTCATCTGCCGGCACAGGTTGGTCGTCCCATCAGCAGAACTGGAGACTGTTGTTTATGGCATTGAATCTGTTTAGAAGTTGAAATGGAAAGATGCAGCCACGAGTCACTGTATGGAATGTCTTTGCAGAAGATGTATTTATTTTGTTATAATATTCAGACTAGTATTCATGTATGTTCCTACTGTAAATTATCTTTATCTCAAAGGACAATGTTAAGAATGGAAAAAAAGTTTGTCAGCACAAAAAAATACCTTGCGAGTATATTTTCAACATTCCTCAACAGGAAAGACTGCTCTCTGTTACAGTCCATAACTAAACATGCTCTGAAGACTTACCCTGTATAAGAGTGTTTTAATTATTTATTATGTGGGTAACAGTGATCCTTAACAGTAATAAAAATGAAGAAAATGTGCAAAGAGTTGAACATATTGATGTAGTTAGAATTTTTGATCTGATTGCTTGCTTTTCGACCTTGCATGCACTGCTAATAAATAAAAAAAGCCTATTGTACATGTTTACTTTGTAAGAATAATACAAAACTTGAGTATGTTCTAAAATTGTACATTGCAGCAAGACCTGAATAACTGGAGGTGATAAAACAGGAGTAACTATGGCATCATGCAAGATATCGGGTTTATGACTGTTCTTGCTGTCTAAACAGGCACAAAGCCCAAGGTATCTCACGTGTTTCCCTTTTTAGACAGCCAATGAAAGACATCCCAGATGGAGCAGAATGTTATGAGAAAAGTCTGCTTGATGGACAAAATGTAATAACAGTAATAGTTTTCAATAATTGTAGCAATTTGCCTCCTTGCATTGGATCATTAAATTGCCTGTCTCAGTGCTTTAAGACTGTCTTTAGTGCATAGTCAGGCATGGTGAGAAAATATAATCTATGTCAAAACACTGTAATTTTGGGGCTACCCTCTTTTTACATGGAATGCACGACATCACTAAACTTATTTGTGTTACTGGGATGAAAGCAAAAATCTACAAAGATCTATAGTTTACCACAGTACTGAAAAGGTGATACATTAGCTTGAATCAATGTCATTTTATCTTTGAAACAGGTGAAATGTTAAATCAAAGATGAGTGAATAAGCACATTAAATGAATGATGAAATGTTCAGTTATTTTGAAGGGTTTTTTTGCTTTCAGCATTGGTATGGACCTGCTTTAGTTTCGGAGGATTTGGAAAGCTTTACTTGTTGGAGATTTTGACAGGCCGGAGTCATTAGCCAGAGGCATGTCAGTATATGGTATGTAGACACAGTTTATAAAACATGGTCCAGTATTTGTAGACTACATTGCCCATCTTATTTGACACAGTCTGTTGAAAATTACCAAAAAAACTAGCAACTTTGGGTTTGTGTAAAATCTTCTAAAATGATGTCAGTGGAATCACCACTTTGGTCCAGACTGAAATATCTCAACAACTATTAGATGGATGGCCATGAGATTTGGTACAGACATGCATGTTCCCCAGATGATGAAGTGAATTTGGTCCTGTAGCACCTTACCTCTTCAGAACCTCCAAACCTTTCCAGGAACTAAGAAATAAGGCCTTGGTTTAAACTTAGCTTAAGTGTTATAGTCTGAAAGTGCAAAACAAAAGTCAAAATTACTACACATTATTCATTAATTTTACACTTCAACATATCCACACAGGCTTGGCCTGTTCTCTGCTGCACAGACATACACATACAGTATTTCTGGCCCTTTAGCAATATGGGTAGATCAATTGCAATGAAATCAAATCTGCATGGTTAAAAAAACACATCAGTGCCTGGCTGCTGCCTGGTGTGGTCTTTCCTAGGACATTCTGCATGATTATATTATAAATTTTAGTTTATGACAAATGCAATTTATCTTCAAATGGATTTGTTTAAAGTGTTTGTTTATCTGTTTACATGTAGGTTTGATTCAGAGACATAAGTTGATCCTTTAGCTCAAATAAATGCTTGAAGTACAAATTATTTTCATTATTATATAGACTGGGTCTGGTGAGATATTCTACACATCTGTTTCCTTCATTTAGCACATTAGATACATTCATTTTGCAAAAAAATCCAACAAATATCTGATATTGATATCTGCTTATAAAGGGTCTAATTTTCTATCTCTATTCCAGTCTCTGTCTCACAGTTCCCTAGACTCCAGAGGGGATTGGGTTTTACTTGATTGGACTTCTACTCAGGTTGGAGTTGGCCAGAGCTATGCTGTAAATTATTCAAAGTTATCCCACCTTGGTGCAACAGGAGAGTTAATCAAGCACAAGTCTGTACACACACACACACACACACACAGTGCTGAGGAGATCTCATCAGGCAGATTAAAAACACCTGTGGGGACGTACAGCGGGTCATCTTCCTATATCATGAGTTAGGTATTAGTTTATTTCACACTGAAGCTCTTTTTTTACCAAAAGAGAAAACATTTATATTAGCTACTGCCATTAGTTCACTGAAGACACAGGCTAAAATTGTGATTAACTGATGTGAGATAATCTGCTGGTACCTCTGGTATATTGTGAGATATTGGAAGAGTATTGGGTGTGGGCTCTTGTCTTTCAGTACAATAATTATGAATAATTAAGTGCAATTTAATGTTGCTATTTGGCAATTTGATGATGCATGTGTCATCACTACATTTGTTTCTATAATTAGAATTCACTGCAGCTACTATAGCACTATAGAAAAACCTTTTCAAGAGATGATGAGCAGCAAAAGCAAACTGAATGTAGGCAGCATATTAAGAAAAGTGGAAACATGAGCACAGCTTTGTTCATTATATTTGCAATGGACAAATAAGTTTTCTTTCAATTCTGAATGCAAGCAGGGAATATGATATTGTTCATTTGATAAAGAGCAGGAATCCATTAGAAATGAAAAAAGCTTTTGCTTTGTGGCGTCTTGCTACTCCACAATATGTCACTACATTAAAAGGTTTTAAAGCCTCACTTCGATAAACACAAAGTGAAAAAAATAGTGGGAAACATTTAATCTACCACCTTGTCCCTGCAGAAGTCCACCCGTGTATTGAGTAGATATAGAGGACTAGTTGTCATGGTCAGATTTATTTATAGAGCACTTTAAAAACAAACCAGGTTTGTGCATGCCAAAGTGCTTTGACACATAACATAATTGAGCAACATTCTCACAAGACACAGGTAGTGAAATACATGCATAAACACAGAAACACACAAACATGCATACAGATTGTGTTTGTTGGAACAATTCTAAGGGACATCCAACCATTTGTATTTCTCCACATAGCTTTTTTTAATGTTATTTTCTACACAGAGAGGACAATCACTCTCATACTGAGTAAAGAAACTGACAGTTTTATTGGACTGTGTTCTCCCTAAAAAAATGTAAGCATATTATATATATCTAACAGAAAGCATATTTTGTTGTTGCTTGTCCCATTTTTTCCTTTCCCTAGATCAAAACACAGCGCACGCACACACAAACACACACACACACACACACACACACACACACACACCTAGTGTATGTCAGAGCGGAACAGACAGGTGACACAAGGGAGAGAGACGCAGGCACTTTGACAGTATCATCAGAGATGAGACTTGATGATGTAACTGAGACGGCGTAAAACGTAACTAACAAAACAAACACAACTCACTGGCACCTGGAATTATTGAACAGAGGTTTTACTTGTTCCGAAAAGACGCACAAAGTGACATGTTTGTCTTCATAATGGTTTATCATTCTTCATTATTATTAATTATATACTAACTTAAAAATAAAACATTTTGTGTCAGAATTCTCAAACTTGAACAAATAAAAATTAGTTTCACTTATTATTTGCATTTTTTATATTTTATATATTTTTACACTCACCCTTTCCTCCATAACAAACATTCTAAAATGGAGCAATAGTCAATGACAGTATCTCTTTCTCTCCTTCTCGTACACACACACACATGCACACACAGTTTCAATATTTGATCCCACGCACATTCTGCAAAAACACATACAAAAAATATCTTATAATCAGTATTAAGTCATTCAAATAGCTGCTCATTCTGACAACACATTCATGCTTAATATGTGCCACTGCTTATTTCCCTGCATTAAACATATTAGCCACATGCAGAAATACAGTGCAATGAAAAGGTTACTCATAACAACAACAAATATAAAGGTTATGGCAAGTTCCATATCAGTTAATAAGGGCTTTGTTTCACAACAGCAATTCTATGTTATAGCAAAGCCACACTTGCTTTCGCTTTTCAGCACACACACGTCTTGGGGAGTTTGGCTGCAGTCAGCCTACGACATTAGCTGTTGTGGGGACTAACTGTATCACCATAAGCATTTAGGGTATTTTTTCAGCTCTAAAGTCCCCAGAGCAGCCATTACTGATGCTTCATTAACTCCACGAGATGTACTAATGTGCAGTTAAACACTAAAATAATCAACAAATTTATATCCCCAGCTTTCCTCCAAAGTTACCAAAAAGATTTAGTCAGAAAGAGGTTAATGTGATAGCAGGTTAATATGTATACCCCCCCTGTTTCCCTTGAAATCTTAAATAATTCCCCTGCTGGATTTATTTATTATTTATTGTAATTTTGATGCCCCCTCCTGAAAAGAAAACATGTACACGTGTACATGGTCTGTACTTTTTCCTTGTATAAAAAGACTCTAGTCTGAGGCTTTACATATTAAGAATTAGAGGGTTGAGTCAATATGTAAACTGAGCAAGTCCAAAATAAAATAAAATTCCTGCAGTCAGTACGTTGAGATTAAAATGCAAAGCAGGTAATACAATACACAGATTGTGTCTCCAACATGATGAAACAGATAAACATGCGGTTAACATGCTATAGCTATCCAAAGAAAGACATAGCATTTTCATTAGGCAACCCATACAATGCAATTAAAAAAAAGGGACAACCTGACATTTTCAAGTGCAATATAATTTTTTTCTTCACTAGGTAGTTCCACTACCAAAACAAAATATTCTTGCATTGCAGCTTATTAGCATTTTTAGCAAACCAACCAACCAATAAATGTAACTGAGAGCTAACTTGTTAGCTTGCACCAGGTAGCACCATTAATAACCAAACCACTGTGCCACTCCCAATGCTCCCAAACCTCGAGTGATAACTTCTTGATCAAAAGCAGAATAATTTTAAATAATGCATCTTTTTGTGTTTGTTGTTCACCGTGCTTTACTAATCTCTAATCATGAGCAACGCCCTCTGATTTATCAAGTTTGATTGAGCAAAAGTAAAAACTAGTCAAGATATTATGAAGATATTGTGAATTTTTAAATTGTAATATTGGTAGAAAAATAAGCTTTCTGTTCATAGTTGGTATGAAGTTGCGTTGGGAGATGCTGCAGCGCGGCAGTTTCAGTCAGTCCCGTTTGGCTTACCTTCAGCAGAGTTCAGACAATACAAACAACCAGCAGATGTCTCTGTTCAATCAACCTGCAGCTGCTGATAAGCTCTGGTAAACTGTTTTCAAATGTGTTCTTTTTCATAAAGAACCACAGAATGAACACTCAGAGGAAATACATTTGATTTATGAATTTCTATTTTTGATCATATTTTCCCATTCCTTGAGTGCGCAATAGTTACCTCCCAAAAAGAGAAACTTCAAATGTATTTCCTCTCAGTTTCACCATGGCTTTGTGTTCTATTACTGTATATGACGAACAGGTATCCAGCACCGTTCACATGGTAACACATCAATGACTATGTTACTATTAAATTCCCTACTGCTTCAGCACAAAAGGAGATTTCTTGGGGACTACGCTGACTCAATGCAAAGCAACATAAGCAAAAGCTTGTTGCCATACTATCGCACAATTTATTCTTTAAGTATTTGTTAGCTTTTTTCTTTATGTTTACAGGGGTATAGCTAAAGCCCATGATTATCCGTAGAAACTATAATAAAGTGTTTACTTGTTCTACAGCATAGTCAAGTCCCCTCACCAGGAGGAGCTGCCATCCTGTGTTAAACGACTTAATTGGTTTCACTGGACAGTTTCAGAGCTGCATGGTCTAAATGGTATTTCAAGTGTCTTTTACATCCAGCCACTACAAGCTAACAGTGGGAGAAATACCGACGCAGTCCAGTTTTTCATGACAAGGTCACACGCATGCACGCACGCACACACACGGTCAGTGACAGAGGTTGGTGGGACGTAACAGAGGGTAAACGATCATACACACTCACACACACACACACACACACACACATATATAAACCAGGGCTCTCTCTCCTCTTGGCATGCTCTTCTGTTGTGGCAACACAAGAGTAGCCTTTGTATGCCATACGATTGTGACCAAGTATGAGCGTGTATGTGCATATTTGTTTCCTAGTGTCTGTCAGTTTATGCATGAGTATGTGTGTGTGTATGTGTGTGTGTGTGTGTCCTGGTATTTGTGACCTGTTTTTGAGCTGCTCTCACAATGTGCTGGCAGGTCAGTGCAGATAAAGGAAAGTGAGCCTCCTTTCTCTCCTCCCTCTGTTGTATTGTTGTTGGGGCAGGTAGAGGGAGGTGAATGTACTTAATCTTACAATATGTCAGAAAAGCCCCATGTACGTCCAGTGGCATAGGTTTAAATCCTGCATCGTATTGTACCATCGAAGTTTTACTCTGTCTTGTCCCAAAAAAATAAATAATAATGTTTTCCCATTTTAAATTGGCTGAATGCCCTTTCGCTTGTCTGAGAGAACATCGTGGACTGAGAGCCTTGTAAAGAACACGTAGAGGGGATTTTCAGTCTACTTTGTCATTGTTGTTAGAGTGAACAGGCTGGCACTGGGCTGAGCACGAAGACGAGAAGGAGGCGGAGGAAAACGTTTTGGTGGTGGCAGAGGGTTCCCTGGGTTTTTGTTTCCAATGCAGGGCGATCACAGCCAGAATGCTGATGATGTGCACATGGAAGTACATAGACCTGGGAAAGAAAGGAGGAAAAGCAGAGTGTAACTTTCTCAAATGTTGATTAGTAGGAAAATGTGACCAAGTTATAGAGCAGGCAACCAAATATAATTTACCAAACAAAAAGGTGGAATATTTTAATATGTATAAAAAAAATTTAATTCTTGGGCACAGCTCAGCCAGTAGAAAGGGCATTGCTGGAATAGTGGCTCTTAATATACCATCTAAATGCCACTAAAAGCCTGTCAATACATTAATACAAGAGCCGCAACAATTAGTCGATCAGGTGATCGACAGAAAAAATTTAGTATGACAGATTGTTGGATGGATCCTCAAAAGTACTTAAACTGAACACTTCAAACACATTTGTGGCAATACACTCTTTGAAGTCTGCTCCTGGGACAATGCTGCAAAAAATGTCCCAGGAGCAGACTTCAATTGATACAGCATAGTATCACGATATTTTCCGTGGCAATATTGTATCGATACACAGACGTCAAGTATCGAGTTCAGTTGTCTTAACAACAAGAAAAAGTCAAAAAAGAGAGTGTGTGCAACTGATTGACATGATGTGGACCAAAGCTGGGGAATATAATATGCTGTGGAAAGAAATTAGGAGCATCAACAAAGAGAAGCATCTCCAGTACACGACACGTGCAGCAGGCCCTCTTATACTACGTACAGTCGGTGTGTTCACAACTTTTGGGCAGCACACAGATGTCCACACGAGGGTACGCAACGACCTTTGCAGACGTGGGCAGCTGAACCCACGCGGTCACATGAATGAGGCAAGCATGAATTGAGCTTAAGAGGATAGGTAGACTAAAAACAAGTATTACATACCTGTAATAAACCAAAGTGGGTTCTACTGCAAGAAGTAGAAAAGGCATGACCGTGTAGCAGATGGCCAGCTGGGTGGCTGCCCAAGTTAAGATGTCGTAACCCAGCTTCAATCCTCCGAAGCCCAGGAAGTAGTGGCGAACAGACTTCCGTACCTGGTGGGGAGAGACAGATGAACAGTGAGGGATAAATAACTGTTTTCACACCAGTGAAATGATTGGTGTATTTGTTGATGTAATTCCAACTAACCCAATTAAGTTACATGATAAGATTTTATTACCTTCCTTAAAGAATAAATCTCAGACTGTGAGAATTTAGACTACTATAGCTGCAATATTTTGCTGTGATATAATAATACTAGAGCACTCACAGTTCGTGCTGCCATGGTGATGGGGATGGCAGTGATGAAGGTGAAATAGTACCCTGGATAAACACCGTGCCACAGCGCAGACAGGATAAAGGTCAATGCCAACCTGTGCTTGGGGGCTCGGTCATAACACACCCTGCAGAGACGAAAGTTTGTGAAATGGAAAGCTGAGTAAATGTTTTCTGACTGTGCTCATGAGTACTGAAGTTCACATTTGCAGCACTTACGTCTTGAGCCAAATCCCCGTTCGAATATTCCAGTTGTCTATAAAGGTCTTGAAGCTGGTTGCGGTCTGAAAAAACAAAACAAAAACAATAACCACTTAACAGTAACTGTGTGCTCCAATCCTTAAGTCACTGCTGGATTTTGACCAACATGAATGTGCATGAAATTTCACACAGTATAGAGAGACTATGTTCTGTGGATCAACACTGAAGGTACCTCAATCCCCAAGATGTTGAGGTTGCAGATGAGGTTCCAAGATGGCTTTCCATTTTCATCCATGCCCAAGAAACCATAACCTGCAGCGTTGTTGATTGCATCAGCTGACAGGATGGAGGAAGGAGGAAGGGGTGGGATCACATGACCTCCATGGTAATAACATTGTAGCTCATGTTCCCATTATACCAGCTGTTAATTAGCTAACTACAACTGCACACACAGTGCCTCACCTAGCGTCCAGGCAAAGTAGAATTTGGGCCTTGCTGCTTGTATGGAGAAGAAAGCGTAGGTGAGCCTGGTGAGGAAGGGGGCATGGCTGACAAAGTGGGGGTCCACGTTGTATGTTATCGGCAAGGACCGAGTTACAGTGAGGAAGAACAGCATACAGCCGCAGCAGACCAGCAATTTCCAAGAGACAGCGCTCTGTAGAGAAAATCCAAGTCACTCCAAAATATTATATTAATTAGCCATTAAATATTTAATGTCAATGGCTATATTTACGGCCATTAGTTACAATTAAGCTGGATAATTAATAATCCATTAATGTTGGAAAGATGTGTGTCACCATTTCAGAGCAAATATAAGATAAGAAGCCCAATATTGGTTTGTTGCTACGCTCTAGTGAAACCATTCCCAATCTCCATTTACTCTCTAGCAAATCTCAGGTTACGCTTTTTTCTTCTTCTTATTGGCCCCAATCCTAACCTCAAGGAGACTAGCGTAAATGAGCCACAAGCTGCTAAAGAATAAGTCCAGGACAACTTTAGGACAAGTTTTGCTTTTAGATGTTTTGTTACATAAAGGGTACCCATGACCAAAATCATGTCATGCATTCTGTCACTGTGTTATTTATGGATGGAATTAGAGTGAAAATAAATGTTTCCCCTTTTTGCTGGGACCCCCTAACAGACTCCTGGACCCACTTTGAGAACCACTGGTTTAGGAGACATTGTTTCAGGTTAATCCACACCAGCCAAGGAGTGTCTATTTTTAATACTGCCTCTTTACACTTAAACTTCCAAGCTTCAGACCAACCAATATGGGCCAAGGAGCAAGGATAATTACTGCTTTACGGTGAGATTATTTCAGATTTCAGACAGCATAAAGAATGTGACATTAAGCTGGTTTTCAAATACAAGTGAACAAAGCAGAGACAGTGTGCTCTGTCTCACAACACACCTCCTGATATGAGTGGAAAAGTCTCAGTGAATACAAAAATTTAACTACGAGAAGACTGCAAGAGAAATGGTCTAGCATAGACAGACAGATTAAAATCTACCCCTGCTATAGTCCCCAGTTATGATGTGTTATCAAATATAATCCGCAGCGGAAGCAGCAACTAGATATGCATTCATGAACTTACCAGAGGTGATGGGTCCGGTGTCTTATCGTAGCCGTTCTGCCCATTACATGTCCCCGAGTGCTGTCTGAGCCTCCTGCTGATGTGTCTGCCCGCTATGAAGTCTATGTAATCCTTATAGTTAGTACACGGCCCCACCAAGACACTCATGAAGTTCAGATTGTAACTCAGGTACTCAATGAGAGAAGGCCTCAAACTGCAGAAAGAACAACAACGTAGAACCTCTTTATTTTCAGTATGATAATACTGGTCACTTCAGGTGAAATGCAACAGTGTTACTGTTTATTTTCATCTAAGTTGGTTGAAAAACATGCCATTTATTTTCTTAATAAAAATTAACATTCAAAAAGGGGTCCCTGTAAACCTTTATTATTGTTTGTCAGATAAAATGTTACATAAAAGGAAATATTCTGTGAATGACAAATAACGATTTTATCAAATTTACCATTTACCATCCAAATGTTATAATTAGCTTAGGTTTTGGTTCCTTTGGCCCTTCGATTACATCAGCTGCGTTGCATATTAAAAGAAGTGGTATTATGCTCATTTTCAGGTTCAAAATCTTATTTAGGGGTTGTACCAGAACAGGTTTACTTGCTTTAATTTTCAAAAAACACCATATTTTTGTCATACTACACATTGCTGGAGTTCCTCTTTTCACCCTGTGTGCTGAACGCTTCGTTTTAGCTATGTGTGTGTGCTGCAGCCCGGTGTTTTTGAGGGTGTGTCAGACTACCCGCTTGGCATGTGTTATATGATGCTAGTGCTGGGGCGATTCTTCAACGTAATCGATTACATAAATTCATCGATGCGTCGCTACATCCGGATTCTCCCGGACAAGCTCCAGCTACAAGACCGCGAAGTTTGGAGTATTTCAGACAGACACTCAACAACGTGCTGCTCCGTGAGCTCTCTGAACTGGAAACAGCTTCACTGCAGCACAACTGCTGTCCACAAATACGTGAAGCAGCATGAACACGTGAAATGAAAGTATATAGTAGCACTTTATCTAGACGGCAGCACCGCAAATCGTGTTTACTTTCTGTCGCCACATAAGCACGGCACATTATCAGCATGAGGACACGTAGTCCGTTAAAATGTTTATTGCCTTCATGTTAAAAGTAATTTCTTGACAGCATGTCTGTGTCGTCAGGGATGAAAGGTAAACGGCTGGACTACAAACGAGCTGTTTTCAGGCAGTTCAGAGCAGTGTTTCTGTGGGAGATGGGAACTCCCTTTGGGCTGGACTTTGGCCTTTTTCACTTTGCAAACCTATTACATGAACAAAAAAGATATAAACTCAATAAAGGAGAGGGAAAAAGCCAAAAAGCATAATACCACCTCTTTAAAGAACCACGATTGAGTATTGATAACTGGTTTTGAATTGTAAACAGTTCCAAATACCAACAAGTCAGGAAATCATAAAAAAAGAAGCTTTTTAATAAGCTTATTGACTCCTGAAAGTAACATTGCTGCTTAAACATGCATCAAACTTATATGCCAGTGTAATGTTTACAGTAAAACTAGAATTGATAAGTAAAGTCTGAATCAGAACTAATAAAAGTGATCCAAACCTACAGGGAGCATTTAAATCTTAAAGGAAGCTAACAATGGTGAGACAATTACCATCTTTAGAGCTGCAGGGTTTTCACACAAGAGCAACTCTATATGTTTTAGGTTTTAAATTTTATTTTGAAAAAAGGCATGCATGGTACACTGGTGAATATACTTTTATCAATTCACATGCATAAAAATGTCATATTTTCCATGCAAAATGATCTTTTCTGAGTTTCCAGCATGCTCTTGACATGAACAAGCTATTCACCATTATTGCATCTCCTTGTCATTCTCCTTCGTAGCTAAAGGAAAAGAAAAAGTTATTTATTCTTTAAATAACGTGTTAATTCAGATGCAACCTTCTGTGCATACATACTTTGACAGGGACACTGGGTCCAGATACATATCAGTGCTACAGTGTAAACTATGTGTACCCCAAAGGTCAGGTTTTAAAGGCAATCCGCTATATTCAGTAGGAAAAAAAAGGAAGAATCACATCAGAGACCTCCACCCTGAGCACAGTGCTCAGACTTGTTTCCAAAAAGCATATCCCCTGAGGTTTTGTAACTGTTATAATTCCCACTAAATACAAAAAGACTGAGGTCAGTAGTATGTTTAACCACTGTAAAAACTTACTTTATAGCCAGAAGCTTCTGCTCCGGGGTCAGTTGTTCAGATTTCTTACACATACCTGAAAGACAAGGGATGAAGTCATCACTAACCTGTTTGGAAACTTCCATTTTGCTACTTTCAGCAAATAATAAAGTTAATAATGGCTGAATTCCATTTAGCTGCTTCAGTTTCAGGATCAGCATGCTGGTTGTCTGTCATAGTGTCATTACATTTGTGTAGAAGGGGTAAAAAGTGATAAAAATGTATGTAAATTGTGAGAGCATGTTGCCTCCACTATTTCTATGCTAACGTGTGTGTGTGTGTGTGTGTGTGAGTATGTGTGTGTGTGTGTGTGTGTGTGTGTGTGTGAGTGTGTGTGTGTGTGAGTATGTGTGTGTGTGTGTGTGTGTGTGTGTGTGTGTGTGTGTGTGTGTGTGTGTGTGTGTGTGTGTGTGTGTGTGTGTGTGTGTGTGTGTGTGTGTGTGTGTGTGTGTGTGTGTGTGTGTGTGTGTGTGTGTGTGTCCTCCTCTGCTTTACCGTCATGCAGCTGGAAAGCCAGAGTGGTGATCTTTTGGGTTACTATCATCAGAGGCCTGAGCAGGGGAAAAAAAGGATTTTATTGATTAATTCAATTGTAAATATCTGGGGGGAAAGCTGGTATCCACTGATGAACACACACTGCAGGTAACTAATGTTAGACACTGACTTTGTGGATATTCTAAAGCGAAAAATTAAATAAAATTGTGCAAAGTTTTTAGGCAGGTGTGGAAAAATGCTGTTAAGTAAGAATGCTTTCCAAAACAGACATCTTAATATATTTATCAATGAACAAAATACAAAGTGAAAAATCTAAATCAAATCAATATTTGGTGTGACCACTTTGCCTTCAAAACAGCCATAACCTCTTCTAGGTACAATTGCACATGAATGCATCCTGAATGTAGAAGGGAGTACCAGGGTCTCACTGTTTTCTGCCAGCTCTGAGTTGATGGCACTGCTGACCATCTTCCGATTATGCAGGGAAGTAAGCATTATGTGTCTTTCATCTGCTGCAGTAAGTTTCTTTGCAATGCGTCTAGGGTCCTCAACAATGTCAGTTTCCTTGTGCTTCTTGAAAAGAGCTTGGACAGCACATCTGGAAACGGCTTTCTGCCTTAATATGTCTGCCTGGGAAAGACCTTGTGTCTTGTTGCTGTGCTCAGTCTTACCATGGTGTATGCCTTCTGACAAAAGTAAGGTGTCTACAGCAACCTCACCTTGTTAGCAGAGTTTGGCTGTTCCTCACCCAGTTGGGATAAATGTTTAATCATACACCTAATGATATGACTACAAAATACCTGACTATGTGCAAGTGAACCTAGAAACCTCACACAGCCAGCCTGATATAAGTGGGCAAGTTTCTAGTACAGGAATTATGTTTTTAAATGTTGTGAAAGACAGTAGTCAGCATGTTTTGCTGATCAGCAGTAGGATTGTTTAGTGAAAGAAAGCACTTTTCATTCATTCTCCTCCAATGCAATTAATTCAAATCCCTACATTTTCACTTTATCACTGTCCCTCTCTGACACCAGTACAGGCTGATCTTCATCTTGGCCAGCTCACGGCGTTCAAAAGAAATCCACGTCCTAAAGTTGATTACACCAACGGAATAGTGTTTAGTAAGAGGATTTCATCTGCCAAATACTGTAGGATTTTTCACACGCAATGTAATAAACAGCACAATGCAATAACTTGCTTGCACTTTTAACACTCCTCCAGAACAACATACATTAAATAAAGTATACATTTCGGTTTTAGCTGTTTCAGTAAGTTACGCCGAAAAGTGCTGGGAGTGAGGCGACGGTGGAGGGCATTGAGGTCTTGTACAGTAAGTCTGAACACACTAGTTTCACACCCCCTCTCCTCGTTTCATTCACAGATAGAGACCTCTCTGTCCCAAGAATGTGAGTGTGTGTGCACAAAGGCACACATAAACTACATCTCTCTCTCTCTCTCTCTCTCTCTCTGGTTCCTGTGTGTGAGTGGGCTGCATTGTGTGCACAGCATGGAAAACCGAGGCAGAGAGGGGCTGGCCGAGCGGCTGGCAGTGCCAGCTCAGTGAGAGTTAGCAGTTGGCTTAGGAGAAACATTTTCAGGGTGCTGGCCAGTATGTGCAACGCTCCAGCACTGTGGCCCACGGACTCTGTTTTTCCATACAAACGCTAAAGTTGGCACTCTACACGAGACTGTGACCCAGTTCAATTTCAGTTCTGCTGCCATGCATGAATTCGGAAAGGATCAGCTTACAGAAATGCTCACTGACAAACAGGAGAATAGCACACTGACTTCAGAGACAAGCTCTAGATTAATTGTGTTTGGCCTCCTTTAACAGGGAACGCAACACAGCATATCAGGGTGACAATAAGGACATAAAAGTGAACAACATCACATTAACAACAGAAATGAACTGGGTTAAAAAAAAACACTGAATAAACGTTTAAGTATTTCTTTTGGCACCGGATTACCGGATCAAATCCTGTGTAAGTAGTTAAACATATGCACACCATCTCTGGGATTCACAACCATTTATCTGTCCAATCTGCTTAAAGCTTAAAGAAGCTGGATCTGTAATTTAATAGAGACCCTGCCCAAGGCTGACTCACAGGCCTGGTTGCTCAACACCAAAGTCACGCGGAGTACAAGTGAGTGCTGCCAGTAAATTCATCCACTCCAGAACTGGGCAAACGTTGCTGAATACAGTCGACTGTCACCTTTTAAAGAATGACTGCACACAGAAAACACTGTTACCCACTTTATCTGGTATGAAGATTTCCAGTAAGACCGTTGTTACCACCTCAGGCATTATCCTGACAAAACACATACATTTGCAGCTCCATGTTTAGCTAAATATTTGTCTGGTTTTTGTGAATCCCAGGAGGCCCAGCTCTCTCTATGAGATGTGGTCCACAGTAACTTTCTCAAAGAAACTGCATTCTGCCAATGTAAAAGCTATGAATTAAATGCCGTTGCAGTTCATAGATGTGGACAGAGTTTTTATTTCTAAATAGTCATTTTTGATGATGCAATGTTTCATTTCAAATATTAATGAGCAATGACAGATGAGTCACTGCCCATCTTCTGTTCCCCACCTGCGTTGCTAAGTTCTTCTTTTAGCACTTCTTAATGATCTTTACAGAGCCCAAAAGAGAGCATGTATTATGGTATACCAGGGTATGACTTTCAAGACACTCCTCTTTCTATTAAACTGATACAGAAATGCTGTATTGAGCGGATGTATTTAGAGCTGAAACGATTAGTCAATTAATCAATTACAACTATCAATTACAACTATTTTGATAATCGATTAATCGTTTATCAAAATAAAAAAAATTTGAAGTAAAAATGTGAAATATTGCTGGTTTAATCTTCTTAAATGTAAGGAACTGTTGCTATTCTTCGTCATTTATGATAAGAGTCTTCGGATTTTGGACTGTTGGTTGGACAAAAGAAGCTCTGATCTGAAGATGAAATTGTGATTTGTCATTTGTCATTATTTCTTGACATCTTACAGACTAAACGATTAGTCAATTAATCGTAAAAGTGTTGGCAGATTGTTAGTTGCAGCCCTAGATGTATTTTAGTGTAAACCCTCAGCGTAGGCGGGCGGCGAAGCGTGAATATACATTGAGGCAACGCGACTCAACTCTCTCTACTGTTCCCACCCGAAAAACTACCATGCACACGAAGCAGAAGACTGCTTGCGTACCCCACCCCCACCCTCCGCTGTTTTACACAAATACGTCACATACCGTACATACCCCGGTAAAATGTCAGGGAAGGTATAAATGAAAAAATAAATGCTGCCCAAGCCTAATGTCATGTTGTTATTTAACAGAAACCCTTCCCCTAAAGAGAAACATACTAAAGACTAAACTGCCCACTCCTTTAGAAGCAGGCTCGTTTTAACACAACAAAGTTGCCAGTGAGCCAACGAGTACTTTAGCTCTGCCTGGCTGGACAATGTCAATGGTCCACACTGCTGCTTTTTAATCAGTGGTGTTGTATTTACACAGGGCCGTAGCACTGTTGACTGAGTAACCAGGTACAACGCAGTTTGGAAATGTTAACTGATAACATACGAACTGAAATGACTAATACACTGTCACCAAGAAGGTGTGGCAAACAGGGAGGAAAAGGGAGCCGAGTGACCGAGTGAGTTTTTGTTCCCCTCACCCAGAGAAGTCAGTGGACAATATTCCATAATTAAAGATGAAGACTCTGCTCACTTGGCAGGCGGTCAAGTAGCCCATAGCCGTCACCATGGAATACCTGTGTGTGGAGGAATGAACAAAACTAAATCAGACAAAGGACAATTAAGGTGCTATGGTCTTAAATGCAATACCTGTACATATTACCATGTAGGGCTGCCACTATACACAAGAAATGTCTTTTATTATATGATCTTATGTTGGTAAAGCCATAAGTCGTAAGAGATTACATACTGGAATTTGTATCACATTGGCAGGATTTGCTAAATACACAGCTTTGTGTCTTTGCCTTTTCGCCGCAGAGATTTTACACTGAGGGAACATCTAGAATGACTGATGGGATAGTTTGGGTTTGTGGAAATGGTGCCGTTTTCTCTGCACAGTGTTTCTTATGTATCTCCATGCAGATGGGCTTGGGTTAGCTCAGTTCATGGATGTCAACTGTATGTGACCGAATAACAATTTATTAAACAATTTAATACTTACCTTAATGTCATCAATTTTCCTTTAAAAATGTCCGTCTAAACCTTTTTGGTGTGCATATCGGATAACAATCTTTTAGAGGCGTACTGTACCCTGATGTATGAGAGGAGCTGCTACTATGAAAAGTCATAAATACAAACATTATAACGTAACAGAATGACTTCTCATTTATGTTTAAATGGGAGTGCCCTAGAGTTTCCTGGGTGATAAAGAGGTGTGTGATGTAGTATGTATGTTACTTATTATGTAACCCGGAACACACTTTACACTGTGTTTGGCTTCTACTTGTATGGAACAATACCTACATGACACAAAACTATATGACATACTACAACACACATGAAGAGGCATTTCTTTATACTCACAAAGCTATACACATGGCTGCAAAGACAGAAATAGGCATTTGAACACGCAGAGACACACAGTCTCACGATCTCCATTGATCTATGAGACTGGTCTGGCTGGCATGTCTGGCTGCCTTTCGCCTTAGGTATTGTACATTAAGTTTGTTTTAGTGACAGGTTTAGTTCATGCCACACATAACAAGAAGATAATGGGGCAGAGTGCATCACACTGTTGTCTGGGTTGGAATGTGTGGGGATGACTTTAAGAGGTAAATTCAAAAGAAATCTATGTTGTACAGATTTAAATGTCAAAACTGTTCACTATCTAGACTAAGCCATCTGCCTAATCCACAAGACACACAGTTATGACATAGATTGTGATCAGGGGTCAGATTCTGGGCTGATCTTGTCTAGACAAGTTTTACTTGGAGACAACAGTAACTACAATTGTAAAATAATCAGAATCAGCTTTATTGACATAGGTTTACACATGCAAGGAATTTGCTGTGGTGTTTGGGTGCTTAACAATAAACAATATACATAGCAGATAGTGATATATAAGAAAAATAAAGAGAGAGATTTAATTTGGAGATGCTGCCGTTCTGACAGTTCAGCCTGGTCTAGAAACAACACTTGTAGCAGACTTAATGATTATGGAATACAACAGGATTGTGTTTGTCTATAACCAAACCAACCAGGCTACCAGACAGTTATAAAGATCAGCTGCAGAAGTTTTCACAGTTGTTCACACTTTCCCATTCCAGACATCTGGCAAAGACTGGCAAAGAACATACTAAATTCCACCTAATTCCACATTTCAGTGCTGTAACATTTAAAAATTCATTATATAATCCCAACATTTTGCCTCCATGGCATGGCTTTATCTCACTTTTTCCCTTTGAAGTATGAATACCATCACTTACCTGTGTACATTGTTGATGTCAGCTCTGATGATTACCAAGTAGCTTGTAACCACCACTGTCAGGATGTGAGCTGAGTACCTGCAGAAAAGGACACACACTATCATAAAATGTGCAACATAACTGTTATTTAAATAATACAGTGTTTTAAAATCGAAGTGGGCTGTATGTCTGTGATACGATACAGTGAGTATCAGTGCAGCCTAGAAATGTTACTGAAACATGTTACTGATGGATGAAATGCCACCATAACATTTCTCCTGTGCATCTCCTTTCTGTGCACTCTTATTGTCAACAGTCCTCCTATAATTATAAGCCTGTGGTGCTGCTAACAGCCAGCACAGGACCCGGCACACTGGGTCATGTTGGCAATCATGTTGGTAACTTAGGCAAGTTACTCACACGGTGAAGAACAAAATTAAGAGGTGCTGCATCATATGAGAGACACTAAATGGAGTACTGCTTGAGCGTTTCTCTGTCAGTCTCATACACTACCATCCAAAGCAGAAGATGAGAAAGGCAATGCCAAGGAGAGTGGCCACAGCGTGCCTGACCAGGGGAGTGGCATGGCTGGGACTGAGGTAGAGACGAAACCAGAAGGCAGCAATCAGGGCAAACAGCTGGCATGCCAGAAAATTCACCTGTTCCAGAGAAATAGGGAGTAGGATGGGAGTTTACACAAGCTCACAAATATTAAACCAAATGTCATCTTTTTTAGTAAAAGACTCCTAATACACATATTCTGACAGCAAGGTTATTTGACTTTTCCCCACTTTCATCATCCTAAGTGGCCTATCGATTCCAAAAGTATGTAGCCTAATAAACTTTGCAAGTCAGTTTCTGATGCCATTTTGTGGAGAAATCTAAACACCAAAATCCTGTAATCTCAGCTACAATGTGGGCGTCGATGACCTTTGTGGAGTAACTGCACGTCTCTCTAACATTACGACACAGGACATTGTTTTTTATAAAAACAACATAACTTGGGAAATGCCGTTTTATTGATTTATGGGCAGATACTCCTACCTGATCAAGAGGGAAACCCAAGAATTCACTGACAGGCAGCAGCCACTTGGATCCGGTGGTATTACGCGCAGAAACGTTACTGTCTGCGCGCTCGCCCATCCTACGTAGTTTTGCTGTGGCAACGCCTTAATGTTCCCGGGTGTCTTTTTCCTTCTTTTTTAGCTGACTATTTTCTATTTTCTCTGACTGAAATACATTGTTTGACCGACAGGCTCCGTGACAAGTCAAACCAGTTCGCAGTATGTTACAACAGACATAAAACAACTCCTAGCACGCCCAACTCTCCCTCCTCTCCCCTTCTCTCCTCCTCCTCTTCTTCTTTGACCTCAGTATCAGTCAAGTGATACAGAAAGAACACAAAGAGTTTTTCCGGTCATTGCTTCCAAAATAAAAGCCAGTTAAAATAAGGTTTTTATAGCATACAAACAGAAAACACATAACAATAATTCCCGTAAACATAAACGTTGTTTTCCCCCACAATATACTCCCAGACCTGCCACTATAAAAAGCGTCGTTTGAATTACAATAACGTTCACACTGATTCACTTATTTAGCCTTTGTGCGCATATTCCTGCTTCTCAAAAGTGATTTGTGCTTTTATTTTAACAACAAACTGTAATTTAGTGAGTATTATAGTTAAAGAGAAACTTTTGTGGGTAGAACAGTTAACTAGGACATTGCAAAGTGTGACATGAATATGTAGCCTAACGTGATATTTAAAAACAACAAACAAACAAACGAAAGCCCTTTCACCTTACTTCCGGTGTCATTCAGGGTCTCTTTCAAGCTTGGCACAAGTTGGGACCGTTGGGACCAGTCGCTATTTCCTACGTCCCTATTTAAAATCTGTGTTTTGTTTGGGACTCTTGCTGACAAAAAATATTTAGGCCTATTAAAGAGATGACACCTCCTGCTTTGTTAACGTTTAGGTATGAGGTAGCCCAGATCATGTGTTAAAACTGTGTGTGTGTTGCAGAAGGTATGAAGAAAGGTCATCTGTGAAAGGACTGAATGTTTTTTCCCGATAGACCGTGGCTGGCGGAGCTAAGAGTCATAAGGAGAATAAATATCTATTCGTTATTGTGGAGTGTTGCTGTGATTCATAATTAATGCCCAAGTGTCAAGTCTTATCAGTGGCTCCCTGAAAATACACTGAGCACTTTTTGTGCAGTGTCCAAGGGTGACATGTAAAATGGGGCATCAGCTATGAATGTTAGTTTTTCTGATAATAAACAATTAATGTGGCATTTAAGAGATTCTTAAACCTCCTCAGTGGTAGTCTTTTCAACCTGTATATCATAATACCATCACAATTCACAATCTATTTACAGGGAGCACATACATTCTGACCTATTAATCATGTGGGTTACTACGATAGCGGTATGCAACGTGTTATATGGCCTGAAAACAGTTCAGACCTATAATGTAAGCACTCGTGGACAAAGTATTAAAATCCTTTACTCAACAGTAGAAATACTACAATGTAAAATATACTCCATTACAAATAAAATCAACAATTTAAATGCTTACCTAATTTGGTATTATCAGCTAAATATAGTACAAGTACTTATTATGCAGAATGGCCCCTTCCAGATCATTATATTATTATATGATTATTATATGCATTAACGTTTAAACAGCATTTTAATGTTGTGGTTTGTCAAAATGGGGATTATTATATAGTTATTATAACTATTCTATATACTATTGTGTAGTTAATCTATAAAAAGTACATGATATTTTTACATATTCGGTCTGTACAATCTTAACTATAGATGTCAAATAAATGTAATGGAGTAAAAAGTAGAATATTTCCCTCCGTAATGCAGTGGGGTATATCATAAAATAGAGTTCAAGTAAAGTACAAATACATCAGAATTGTAAGTAAGTACAGTACTTGAATAAATGCACATAGTTACAGTCCACCACTGAATGTAAACCTTTATTGGCAAAGATACACTAATATTTGGACAAGACAGTACATACTGTATACCTTTGGTAGGTTTTAGAAATGAATATGTCAGTTTTATGCTAACTTGGGAAAGCTTCCAAATATGTAGTGATATGCAAAATCAGTGACACATCTAAACATTTTAATGATGCTCTGTATTGAATGGCCGTCTGTGAGTCTGCTCTAAAGTTCTGTGCAGGCTTGTAAAACATATATTTAATTAGACCCATCAGGGCTAAACTGTTCGTTCGCCAAGTCCATTTCTACTTGTTGTTAACATTATGCTGAGGCACACAGCTAAAGCTGGCTTCATGTCCAACAATGTACTTGACACATATTAAAGATCAGAAGCACTGAACAGAAACAAAGAAGCACAAAACAAATAAATTTGCAAATGTTTAAAAAAAACGTACTCCACATGAAATAAGTAAGGAATTACATAGGGGTTCCTGAAGGAGCTGTGCAGAAAACATAAAGCACGAAAACAAGCAACATACCTTGATGCCTAACAATATTCAAGTTCAAATTATACCATCATTTATGAGGTAAATAAAGGAGGGTGCATTTTGTATTTTACTAGATTTGTTAAGTTGTATTTATTGTTATCACCACTTTTCACTCCGCAACCTTTTATCTTAAGGATGATCTTGTCATTCTGATGCATAAGGTCTCGCAACAACATCTGATCTCTACTACTGTTGTAAACTTTAGAACAGACCAAAATTTTGTGACACGAATATACTGTCTCACTACACGCATAATAAAAATATCAATTCAGATAATGCCAAAAGATTAGTATATTGTGAATAACTGGCCACATTTATGAAGTACATAATCGTGCTTTTTGTTCTGTTACAGGATGCCTAATTTACCATTTCACCCTGCCTCTTCAGCACACAGTTGGTCACTTGCGCCACTTAGCGACCTGTCAGGGAACACGCGAGGCATGACAAGTGACGTCCCCTGTTTACATCTGCCAATGAACACGTGGCGCACCAAATCCTGAGCTGTTATTGGTCAAAATGGCAGTAATATGGGTGGGGACTCTTATGTGAAACACCAATCGCGTATGGCATGTAAATTCTGTTTGAAACTTTCCCGGGAAATCTGAGTTTCGCGGGAGGGCTCTTGAGCGCGTAAACCGTATCCCTTCATTCATCAGGCCGTTTCCTGAAGCCATTTCTAGACGGGGGAAACGAGAGTTGAGCTACTTTTTAATCCGTTGCATCTGCCTAAATGCACTTTCTTAATGAAAAATACTTTAAAAAAGTCGATGAATCAGACTCTCGTCTTTACTTCGGTCTGATTATTTTTGTAACTATTGCGGCGGATTAGCAGCCATACAGGCTTGAAAGTACAGAGACTAGAAAGGGGTTACCCCGAATACGCAAGATGAGAAGAGGGATCTCCTCGGCTCCGGACAAAGTGATTTTAGCGGGGGTTGGGGGCTCTCCTTTGGACAATAATATCATTTTAACAACTCTCTCGGATCGTTTAAACCCCGGTCAAGCCAACGCTACCTTTATCCAAATAATAACCACCCCACCGCCTTGCAACGTTACACAGACATCAAATGTGTGTTTATCCGAACCTCAGATAAACAACATTTACACAACTCCACAACAAGCTGCAGCAAACGGAGCAGGACAACGACCCGCTCTGGGGAGACCGCCGGTAATCATCTATACAGCTCGTTTGAACGTTATTAGGCTTGCTACAAACGCGACAAAATGTTAGCTTGCTAAGGCTAGCCGAGCTTGTTGTTCGGGCAGCTAATGTTAGCTGCTTAGCCAGGGCATTTCCACGACTTAACCTAGCGAGGTGGCTAACTACTACCGCTAGCTAAGTTATCCAAGTAGGTAGGTTAAGTGATTTGTTGACTGTAGGGAAGCAGGCGGCGAGTTTAAGTTAGTTTTGCATGAACAGAAACGTAGACCTGTCATCTTAATAGCATGCTATGCTAAATTCATGGTGCTTTTGAGTCTGCTTCACTCTAGCAGCCAGATGGAAATATTGGTAAGACATGAGTAACGTTAGCGGTGGCCTAGTGGCTACTGTTGTCTTAATTTTGGGGGTTGGGGGGGATTGTTGGGCTGCTTGGCTCTTAGTTAGCACATTTTTGGCTTTGTAACAAGACACGAGTGGCTGAACTTGCAAAGACGTGGGCTTTGTGCGTAGCTAAAACTCAACTTCAGTTGTGAAACTACTAACGTTAGATATTTCTCCCAGTCGTCTCTGAACATGCAAGCCAACTTGGATGAAGCTTGAAAATGTGTTAGCTTTCAAGGCTAGCAGCAGTATTGATTTATAAGAGGACAACATTACACGTTGTCGGCCTTGACCTTAATTTTGCACGAATGTTGTCCCTTTCTTTGTAAATAAAGTGTAACGTTATGGTGCTTTTCATGCCAAGTAAAGTGAAACTCGAGTTTGTTGCTTTAGTGCTGACTGCACGTTTCCTGTATTCTCACCCTGCACAAACCACATAATAGTTTCAGCAGCAATCAGGGTGTTGGTTTGTTCCTGGCTATTCATCTTTCATTAACCAAACCAGCCTCTGTATCATAGGCTTTAGCCATGACCAGGCAGAGGGTGGGGGGAGCTGCTTGCTGATATAAAATGGCTGACAGTTTGACTGGTAACAGAGGACATAGTATTCTTTCTCATACTTGGGCTAGCTTAAGTAACATGAAGTATTAAAGATCAGGTTTACTGTACTAAAATATTCTGTCCTGAGGGTTTCTTATCACATACAAGGGGTTTGGAGGAAAACGCAATCGTAGACCAGCACCCTAGTACTGGTGTGTTGCTCAAAGACACTAAAACAGAGTGGGTTCTTGTCAACGCACCAGTCTTAAAGGTTCACTGAATGAAGAGGCTACTCACTAAGCCATTGTGCTGTGTAATTGATGACCAGAATGGCAATTTAAGCTTGTGATAGACAAAGTGTAACCTTTCTCAAAGTTAGGCAATTCAACACCTGCAGTATCAGTGCCCGAAATGGTCTTAAAAATGGTGTCCATCACTACAGTGGTGATGAGGCAGACATTTAAAATGTATACTATTGCTTAAACCATAGGTAATGAACATGTCTCACCTTTCTCAAGCTACCTCAGAAGAAATTATGACAGATTAGAGATTGACAACCTATAACACTTGAGTAGAGATGAATGTGGATAAAATGTTGGGTTAAATCCAAACAGACAATAAGCTCCCAAACATCAGTTCAGAATGGGCATTATTAGGAGTTTGATAAATATAGATAAAATGATTTTTGGACAGTAGGTTGGGATCTGCTATTGGCAATATTTAAAGTGTGGTTATCGGGTGTCTCTGCATACTTAACAGTGGTTTCCTTTGGTGATACTGTGCA